GAATCAAAATGCATCGCTTTTGTCTCAGCACTCTGGCTTGCAATTGCTATGAAAAACAGTTTGGGTTTTTTTTACATAATGTGTTGCTTGTCAAAGCCGCACCAGGGTGATGGGGTGAGAACTGTGGCAAGCAGCAGGAGAGGCCAAACGCCTCAAGGCCTGGCACACCATGCAATGGGCATCATGCCAGCCCTCTGCATGCCCATGGTGGACTCATGTGTTCAATTCTGGGACCCTCAGTACAAGAGGGATACAGCAGGGTTGGAATCGGTGCAGCGAAGGGCCACTAGGACGGTGACTGGATTGCAGGGGAAGCCAAATGAGGAGAGACGGAGGGAGCTGGGCCTTTTCAGCCTGGAGAAGAGGAGACTCAGAGGGGACCTGTTAGTGACATACAGGTATGTGAGAGGGTGCCATGCAGAGGTGCATCATGACCTTTTTCCCCCTGCAGTGGAGGGCAGGACATGCTCCAATGGAGCGAAGTTCAGGGAACCAAGGTTCAATTTGGATACCAGGAAGTTCTTGAATCAATTCAAGTTGTAACAACCCAGATTCAGGCGGGACATCAGGAAAAGCTTCCCCACTCTCAGAGCAATAGGAGAGTGGAGCCAGCTACCTGGAGAGGTGGTGGGCGCTCCCACACCAGAGACTTTAAAAAAGAAACTGGACACCCATCTGAGTGAGGAACTTGAGTGTCCTTGAGAAGAGGCCATCAGGAAGCTTTTGCTGATGTCCTGCCTGAATCTGGGTTGTCACAGCTTGACTTGTCCTGTACTCTGGCATCAAATCAGCAAGAAGAGATCTTGACCTTCCTCCTTGTGACAGCCTTTGAGGCACCTACAGAGGGACACCATGTCCTCCCTCAGTCTTCCCTTCTCAAGGCTGAACATGCCCAGTTCTCCCAGTCTCTCCTCATAGGGCAGCATTTCCAAACCCTGGATCATTTTTGTTGGCTGCCTCTGGACTCTTTCCAGCTTTTCTGCATCTTTCTTAAGTCTTGTGCCCAGGCTCCTTGTTTGGCTCTTTGCCATTCATAAGACTGGGTGCTACAGGAGAAACTGGGGGAATTGTCCGGGTGACCAGCAAATCCCACCACAGAAGAATGGAAGAGGGTTACTACCTTGGTATGTGCTGGAGGACAAAGACTGCGCAGAACTTGCAGCAAATCCACAGACTGGCGCGCTAACACTCTTTCCAGAGATGGCAGAATGACCCTGGGTCTTCTGTGCTCAACATGGGCCTTGTCCAACTGGCCGATCAGATTACAGCTGCAAGAACTTTGCAGGAAAGGCCCTGCGTGAAGCCGGGATTCTTGTTTCTCTGGAAGGCTAAAAGCGAATGTGGCGCATAATGTTCCCTGGATCTGAGAAACCAGTTCAGAGGAAGGCTAGAGGGATGTGCCAAGGGGAAAAGGAGCCCAAGGCAGCTGGGGATTCTTGGAGTGTCGCCAATGGCAGAATCTCAAGCAATTCCAGCAGGAAGAACGCGAGATGCTCTCCGCAAGGCAATGGGGCTGTAGCAAAAGCTTAGTGATGAGCAGATTCTATTTTTCTAATGGACGCAAAGAAGAAATGCACAGACAGAAAATGTAACCCAAACTTGTAGGGACCGCATCAGGCCCAGAACAAGCGGGAGCTATGCTGAGGGGCGCAAGGCCTGAGTGCTTGGAGCAAATGCTCACCTGCATTCGGCAAGGCCGAAATGCTTGGCTCCTGTTTGCCTCCGCTGGCCAATGTGCAACCTTTGTGTAGAGCAGGGCCGGCAAGTGGTTGGGATCGAGGTTCTGGATGCAGTGAAGTGATCCTACACTTTGGTAGCAGCTGCTTTTGATGGCTCTGCTTGAAATGGAATCGTTCTGAGTGCAGCAAATTATTGGGACCTGGCCACAGAACAGTGGCTACTGGGAGACAGAGAACCGAGAACAGTAAATCGGCACCGTAATAAAAAGCTTGGCTGAGAAAGCGTCTGGAAACAAGGCCAGGCCTTCGGGGCCAGGGGGCCCATGTCCCGGGGCTCCACGAGTGCCCCCTCCCACTGAGCCGCATGCCCTTGGCAGGGGCACAAATGCACCCCCAGCACTGGCCTGGCACTCAGTGGGGCCACCAGGATCGTTTCCGGCACTGCTGCATTCCACTTGAAGGTCCAGAGCCCAAGCAGGCTCCGCGGCCTTTGGTGGACCCCCTGCTGCCCACAGCCCTCTTCCAGAAGGGCACCGATGCCCTTCATCGCAGCGGCATGACGTGGCACCTCAGAGGAGCGCCGTGAGCTGCAAGAATTCAGACCGTCTCATCAGAGAAGCATGCTAATAGTGGAAAGCCCCCCCTTTGGGGGGGTCATAATTGTTATTCGGGAGGTAGAATATAGGCGTGCTTGGAAGTTGTGGAAGCAAGTTCTTTAAAATAAATAAAGCCAAAATCACACTGGCTCATGGGAGAAACTGCGCAAGGGGCATGCCAAAAAGCACTGCAGAACTGGAGATGGTCCCCACTTCTCTTTTCTTTTGGAAAGAAAGAGCCTTTATTAAGATCCTTGGAAAACCCTTCTTTCATTTTTCGAAACTGCATTAAAAATTGGAGTAGGGATTGCAATTAGCTTCTCTAGGGACATTAGGTAATTGAAGCTCCCTTAACTACTGTATCCGACTTCGCTGAGGGAAGTATGTCTTCTGTGAGAACAGGAGGGGAAAGTTAACCGTAAGGCTTCACAGAGACCAGGAAATCTTAAAGGACAAATCTTAAAAGGCGGTATTGCCCCATACTTCCCAGAGGCCCCTGGGGGGTGGGGGGCTGCAGGCATCCAAGCTCAGCATTGAGGGAGGGGACATGTCGCTCTCGGTCCTCAGGGAAGCATGTCTTCCGGTGGCCCCCAGCAGGCCGGGTTGCCCGGGATCAGCACAGCTCCACCACTCCGGGTTCCGGAGGGCCGCGGTGCTGGAGCCTTCGAGCCTCGGAGCAGCCAGGGCTGCTGCTCTTGCGCTGCCTGGATGGCGCAGAATTACATTTATGTGGAGCTTTGCAACTTGTCATTAACCTTCAGATGGATGGACTCTAAACCCCTTATTAATTCTACAATTTGTAATGGTGACATTTAATACTGGGAGAGAGAGAAAACAGCCACCCTAAAGCCTCCTGGCAGTTTAATCGGAATGACTATTTTTGCTTTCTCTCCTTTTTTCTTTCTCTTCCTCCTTGAATGAAACGTGCAGTTATTAACTAACGAAGACTTCCTCATTTTCCAGTCTGCTGATTTCTTTGCTACCTGTGCCATAGGCCGTTGAGATGGAAATTCCATCCTGGAAGAATTAGCCAGCCCGCTCTTTAAAATGCCCCTGCCTCTGGGGCTCCTTGTTCAGTCCAGGAATCGATTTCGGAGCTTAGAGTTCCGATGCAACTAAAGTGCTGGATGCTCCCCGAAGAGGGTGGGAAAGGGGCCATGTCCTCCACCGGCAAGCGCCCATCCGCCAGCCAGAGCGTGAACTCACCGGAGGATTCGCAATCTAGAGCACTGCCTGCTCTTGCATCTACCTGGCCATTGTTTGCATTGAGTTTGCCACTCTGGGATCTCAGGGGGACACACACTGGGCTGCCCCACCTGATCAGGCTGGATGCCAGGAAGTACCCCGAGGGTGTGGAGTGGGCTTCCCCGGGAGGTGGTTGAGGCCCCATCAGTGAGGGTGTTCAAGGATAGGCTGGACATGCACACGGTGGGCACGTCGTGAGCAGAGCTGGGGGCAGAGTGGATGGCCCAGGAGGCCCCTTCTCCCATGCTCCGTTTCTATGTTTCTATCATCACAGCAGCCCCATGAGTTTGGCTCAGCAGAGATGCGGGAGTGCAAGGACTTGGACCCAAGCCTCTCCCGTCTGCTGCTCTTGCACAGCCCTTGCTGGGTGCTCTGGTCTAGATCCACTGGGCTGCAGTTCCCAATATAGAAACATCGAAGCAGAGCGAGTCAGAAGGGGTCTCCCGGGCCATCTAGTCTGACCCCCGGCTCCAGCCGGCTCCGCTCACCATGTGCACCATATCAGAAGGCCGTGGCAGCCAGTTGTTGCAGGGCACCCTGCGAACTGCTTTCAGGGGAGCAGTGGGACAGGGACATCAAGCATGGACACAGCCCCGATCCTGCCCAAGCAGTGGCCCATTGAGCTCCATATCATGCATGTTCTCCAGGTCTCAGACAGGCCTCTCCCAGCCACAAGAGGCCATGTGGTAGAACAGTTAAGCCTGCGGGACTTGCACTCAAGAGGTCTGGGTTCAAGTTCCCAATCAGCCACACGGCGCACAATGAAGACTTGGGGATGCCGGGGGCCAAACCTGGAATCCGCATCCATGCAGACCGAGTTTCCCGAGTGATCGACTTCTGTGCATTGGCCCCTTTCCGTTCCCTTGGCTGAGCTGCGGTCCGGATTAGCCCTGGCGAGCTGGCGCATGTGTCGCACACATGCCAGGAGCAGCCAGCGTGCCCTGGGGTAGGGAAAGCCCCTGCAGCACGGGCACACGCGGGCCCTCACACCCAGTGCCGGGGCCTTGGCGGGCAGTCCCCCGACTTGACTTGCTCGGCCGCCGGCAGGGAAAGAGAACCCCGAGGCATCTCTGAATGCGGGAGAGCAGGCAGCACTAGGCAAGACGTGTCTCCTGGCTGTGAGGAGCTGGGTTGCCCGGTGCTTGCAGCTGGCTTAAGGAGAGAGAGGATTCGGGCCCAGCCTGCCTCTGGGTGGAACCAAAAAGCTGCAGCTAACCAGAGTCTCTTTCTGACAGAAAGTTACGTCTTTGCTCATTCAACTGCACTGGCTGCCAGGAAACTCTCAGTTGGCCTGAAGGTGTTGATCATGGAGCAGCTTAGAACCAGGCTACCTGATTCTAAGGGCAGTCTGCATGTCTCTACCCAGACTTTGCACTCCTCAGAGGACACACTCCTGGACGCTGCACACCTGAGCTAGATCATGCTGTGGCCTCTCCCACCCTGAGTGGCACACTGTGCTCAGGAAAAAGTTTCACAAGCATGTTCTAATTATTATCTTTTAAAAATGAACAAAAAACTTTTGTGGAAAAATAATGTTGTAACCAAATCTGCAAGCAAGCTTGGGATTGTCCTGCTAAAGGTCTGGAAGGCTCAGCACCCTGCTCCCCTCAAGCGACGCATCATGGCGAGCGGACTGTGCCGGGGGCATTCAACGCAGCGGGTGGCAAGGGCAGATCTGGCTCGGCTGCACCGCTGGGGGTCGTGCTGGCATCCCAAGAGTCCACCCGGGCTATCTATCCCTCTGGCTTGGCAGGGTCTTGATTGGATGCAGGCCAGGTGCCCCAGAAGGGCCCACGTACCCCACAGAGCCGGGGGGAGGCTGCGTGATCAAGCAACAGCTTGGGGGCATCAGGGATCCCGGCAGCCAGGAATCGAGAGGGAGCAGGCTGTGCCCCGGGGGAGGTCTGACGGGTGGCTGAGGGGCCAGGAACTGCAGGCACACGCTGGCGCACTCCACGCACACATGCACACATGCATGGGCGTCACTGGTAGGTGGCCTTCACACAGAAGGCCTCCTCGTTCTTCTCCTCATGGTCATTGATACAGATCAGGATTTCCTCTTCACCGGCACTCCGGCTGGGGGCAAACCGCAAGCCAAGCGTGTAGGTCTCCCCTCCACCAATCTGTGGGGACAACAAAGGGGGCCGTTCAGGGAGGAATCCCTTTGGGGGTGGGTGCCCAACGCATGCCCGGGGGTCCACTCCCCAACTGCAGTCTGCTTCCTCACAGCTATGGGTCCACATCCCAGGCAGGCAGAAGGCTTCTGAGTGGCACTCACCAGCAACGCAGCCCACGCAGACCCTGAGGTAGGGGCATCCCCCTCCCGCACCGCGTGCAGCTGCCACACGTGACTGCCAGAGGAACAGCCTTGTTTTACAAGTGTTCTTCTTGGCTTGGCTCACTTTCCACGACAAGGCCAAGCACGAGAGGAAATGCGCACATGCCAGAGCTTCAGCACAGCTCTAGGCACATCCACTGCCAGGCAAGTACCTCTCCAGTGAGCTCTCCCTCCATCTATCCAGCTCATGTGCTTCCTCGTCTGAAGCGGAGGCAGGGGGTGGTGCCTCGAGGCCTGAGCGGGCCTCTTAAAGGAAGCTGGGCTTCTGCTAGAAGGTGTTGAGAGGGCTGGAGCTGGAGAAGCCAACGAGACAGTTCTGCCCCTGGGATTTAGGCAGTGGTGCATTCCTGCCGCTGCTTGTGTTGCAGAAACTGAGAGATGGAGACCAAAGCCTAGCACTCCCATTGGAGAAAACCACCCCACAGCCAGCGAACCAGGTTGCTGCACAGGAGCTGGCCTTTCGCTGAGGCTGACCCTCAAGCCCAGTATTGCCCACACCAACTGGCAGCAGCTCCCCGGGTTCCAGCAGGAGTTTCTCCAGCCCCACCCAGAGAAGCTGCAGACTCACCTGAGGATTTCTACAGGCCAAGCAGGGGCACAACAGCTGACCTCCTGCACCTGCCCTACATCTCCAGTGAGAAAAGAGCTCGGTGCTGCCACCCCTCCTGTGGCCCAAGTCCCTGAAGAAATTCTGGGCACTACTGTGAGGCCGCCCACTAGACAAGCCACACATCTGGCCCAAGAGGACGGGTACCTCGAAGGAATCTTCCTTGAACTGCAGCAGGTCGGGCCGGTTGGTGTGCAGAAAATACCTCCTCCGGGATGGGTATGGGTTGGAGTAGGTGATCTTCTTGTTCGAGCCCTTCCCTCCTCCAGCAGGGAGGGTGATTTCAAAGGCCTGGAGAGGGGGAAAGAGGAGCAGTTATGCAGTACCACCTCGGAGTGCTGGAAACCCGCGATGGCAATCCCTCAAACTATGTCTTGCAGCCCCAGCCCCTGAGCCGAAGGTCCAAGAAGTGGCTTGCCAGGACAGCGGCTGTTTAGCGAATCCCTTCCTTTGCCCTCTTCCCCTTGCAAGGCAGCCATGCACCGCCTCCTATCGTTCTTGTCGTTCCCCTCTGTGGGGGGGGGGGCGGACTTGGAATGGAATGGGCTTCCACGAAAGGTCGTTGAGGCCCCATTGGTGAGGGTGTTCAAAGACAGGCTGGACGTCCACATGGTGGTCATGTCGTGAGTGGAGCTGCCTGGTGCCAGAGGTCAGACTAGATGGCCCGGGAGACCCCTTCTGACTCGCTCTGTTTTCTATGTTTCCCTCGCACACACAGGTAGCCCTTGGCACTCAGTCTTGCTAGCTGCCAAACAGCAGACATTCACAGCCAGATTCCTGTAAATCCCGCAGGGACCCTTTCTGCTCAGCCAGGGTGTTTCCCCACTAACAGACTTGCCAAAGCTTACTGGTTCTGAAACTGGAGGGAGCAGGTAGCCACTGCTCCTCCTCCTCCTTCCATTTGCCGGCTTTTAAAGCCATTCAAGCGCTGGCCACCGTTGGGCCCTGCTCTCACGAATGTGTGTGTGCAGTGATTAAGCCAGTTGCTGTGATAAATCACTGGAAAGTCAGGCCAGTGGAACGAGGAGAAGGTGAAGGCCAGCGCTGTCCTAGAGCTTGAGAAGGAGAACTTCTGGGCTGCGAGCCAGTCCATAAAACTGAACCTAGTAGGCAAGTTCACAAACTGGGGGAGATGGGCAGGTAAGCACCAAAAGCCAGTCGGGGGCTTTTTCTGCCCGACCACTGGATTCCAGGAATGGGAGCGAAACGGCACAACAAAACTGAACAGTAAAGATAAACAAGCAAGCAGTAAAAACAAATACACAAAAGCATGAGCTGTGCAGCTCCCCTGTTGTGAAGCCACTCCTTTATAGCACATAACCAAAACTATGAATGCTTCCAGGTGGCCAAAGAGAAGAAACAAAGAGGTGCTGGATTCCTTCCCCATCAGCAGCAGAACTGGAAGAGGAGCACAGTGTCCTGGGGTGAAAGGATGCGTCTTCCACCTCAAGGCTGTGTCCGTGCTGGCCTGGCTCCATGCTCAGCGCTCAAGTTCGGGAGCACATGCCCCTGCCCGCCCCCCCACCTCCACACGCCACCCTCATGCTCCCCACAGGGCAAGTCTCTGACCTACCTTGGAGATCACGGGCTGGCGGCAGGACATGCACAGCAGCCAGGAAGAGACCAGCTGGTGGTACTCGACATCCACCAGGTTGAGGTACATAAACCGGCTGCCGGCACCCTGGGGCCTCACGCTGAGGTGCAGGTCCTGCACCCCATTTGCAGGGAGAATGAAGATGCCCTCTGGGCTCACCTGGCAGGAGAAAAGGGAGCACGGCTGAGTGTGGGCAGCCCGGGTCAAAGGTGCAGGGAAAGTCTCCCCCACCTTCTCCAAGCCCCACAGACTTCAGAGGCAGAGAAAGCTCCCTGCAGGATGCAGGCAGGCTCGGCAGTGGCTTCCTTGCACGTGTGCTCACAGCCAGAAGAGATGCGCTGTAATCAAGAACTCACATCACATTTGCCTGAATACGGACCAGAGATCTGGCATGGGGACTGGCTCACGCTGGCGCCGGCTGGCGGCATCGCTCGCTGCCCAGCCACATGGCGAACTCGGCCCCAAGTCAGAGGCAGTCCGGCTCCTGCCTTCAGCCCGGCTGGCCACACCTTCCAGCGCTCACCCAACAGCCTGACCCCCGGCCTCAGGGGAGTGTGACCCCCACAAGCCTGCAAGGAGTCCTCTCCCGTTACAGGCTGGTCTAGAGAATCCCCGATTCCCCAAAGGAGCTCCAGAAAGCCTCCCATTGGTGCCTGCACCCCATGTTCCCTTGTGGCTGTTCTCTTCCCACTGCACACTGCCCACGTGAACAACCTGTTCAGTGGCAGGGCCCATCCTGCCCCGCAGTCACGGTGCTCAGCCAGTGTGGAAGGGCTGCAGCTTTTCCCAACCAGTCGGGATTGCTGGAAAAACATTTCCTCCAGTGCAGGGTGAGCGAGGCACCGAGGTGGAGGGGCCGGCGGGGGCCAGACTCGTTGTGGTCCTCCAAGCGGCCTCCTCGATGCCCAGGCATCAAAGCGGGCGCAGGCACATTTTTCCCAGACATGCATTTTTCTGAAGTTTACCTTTTGCAAAGGAGCACTGCAGGTTCAGAGGAGTGCAGGCGAAATGCGCCCACATGCACAGCTCTGAATGGGGAAGGCTTGAGCCTGAAGTGAGCAGAAATGAAAACTGTGCCTGTTCCTTGCGAAAGAGAGAGGGGGGCTGCGAAGAGGATGGATGCTGCCCACAGACCTTCTCCCTCCATGGATCCACACAGAACCGCCCCACCAAACGGCCGTCTGATCAGCATCGGCAATGCACCTTGCGAGGTGAGCCCTTCGAAACACCAGAGGCACCACTTGGACTTAGCGACTGGCATCCGATTAAAGGAAAATCAGGCACAGACACAAGAGGCAGAAATTCCGAAGGAGAACAGGCCTGCAGATACTGCAGATGTAAGAGCCCATCCGAGAAGTGGAGGGTGGGAACAGGGAGCTTCTGCCAAAACGCCCCCTGCAGTTTTTGTCAGTGCTGGCATTAAATAAAAGATCAGTGCAGTGAAGTAAAATGAAATTATACGCTGAACTACAAACAAGAAACAGTAATACTGAAAACACCCCAGGAGCGACCACTCTGAAACGCCGGAGAAAATGTCATAAAGCACAGGTCACCAGTCAAAAGCTAGCCTGAGGTTCACAAAAAGTCTTTACTGTCTACTGATTGCAGAAAAGAAGCACTACCTTTCTAATTCCTCACTGCTCATCTATTTCAAATCCATGAGAGCAACTCCCATCCCCATGGTTTCTGGATACTATGAACAGAAAATGGAATAAATAGAAGTTATTTCTATTTGGAAATTCCACTGGAATTTAACACAAGATCAGCACAAATGGATCTTCTGTGCCCTTTTGACAGCTAAAAGACCAACACTACAATATCAGAAGGACAATCCACTTTTGCAACAGCAGAATGGGTGGGAGAGGAAATGAAGCTTTTGATTTTGAGTGGGTGGTCTTTGATTTTTGGATAATCAACAATTGGGCAAATACAGGGGCCTTTGTTTTGCCTTGTTGACACTTGTGCGTAATTCCCTTTACCAATAGCTTGCAACATATAAAATACAGGGATCTGTAACACATATGCATGTAGCATTATGGATAATACTAAATTTTATCTTAAATTTTATGTTAGAAAACGGTACTATTTTATTTCATTTTTTTCATCTCTCTCCCTCCCCCCCATTTTTCATTGTTGCTTAGGCCACAACTCCACTGGGGAGGGACCACAAGAGCCACAGACACGAGGACGGGTGGGGCCACAGCCCAAGGCCATGGATGCCCCCCGTCTCTCCCTGCCCTCGCCCATCTTGGGAAAGCAGAGTAGAGAATCCATGGGGGGGGGAGTGTAGGTTTCCTCCTGCAGGGATCCCCCCCCCCACAAAGTGGCGCTCAGCCCTGGCCAGTTCCCAACTCAGAGCACTCCCGGTGACTATGGCCACATCTCCTCAATGGACTGGCTTCTTGGCCATCCCTGAGGAAGAGGAGGGCTGAGCAAAGCGGCCAGGGCACTCTCTGTGTGCATGGGGTGCCCTGAGGGGGTGGCAGCTGCCGTTCCCAGGGCAGTTGCCAGAACCGCCCAAAGCTCCCCACTTCTCGAAGCCGGGGCAGCTCTGACGAGGGGCTTCACCAAAGGCCTGGTGGGGCAACCCATCCCACTTGTGCTCCACTGGGGCTAGTTCACTCCGCCCTCCAAGCCCTGTCCAAGGATTCTGGAAAGATGCTGTGAGGGATGCAGAGGCTTGTGCTGCAAACCAACCATTGACCCCTCATGAGCTGAGCAAGGACCATCTTGCTGTCTGAGCTGCTACGTGGCTTCCTCGGGCCAGGCACCAAACTGGAAAGGCCTGCCTGGGTTCTGTCCTCGGTCTGTGGACCAGGGTGCGTCCTGCGTCTGTACCCAAGAGAAGGCCCACACCTTGGCCCTTTCCCTGACCGTCCAATCAGCCCAGGGTGTCCCGGCAGCTGAAACCAGCTACTTGGGCCTCTGAAGCCCTGAGCAAAGCTGCCAGCACTTCCCGCCTTTGAAGATCAGAAGGGAGGGAGGGGGCCTTGCAGAGGTTAATCCAAAATGCTGCAGACTCTTCTGAGGCTCTTCTGAGCAGACCACACCGGCTTGCTTTGATCAAGCCACAAGGCAGGCTAAGCTGTGCCTCTCGCTCAGGAATATGAATGAGGTGCACATTTAAATGCGTGCGCCTGACATGGAAATGAAAGCTGGCAAAGAGGCAGAGGTCTGGCGTTTTCTTTCTGCAAAGACTTCCTCTTGGCCATGGGGTCACGTCCACCTCATGCTGAGAATTCAGCAGGAGGCTCCATTCAGTCAGTGATAACTGGAGCTGTCGACTGGTAGGATGGGGTGGGGAAGGTTGAGAAACAGCAAATGGAATTCGCCTCCATGAGATGCGATGGCCACCAGTCTGCTGCGGTGGTCTGCCATCAAGTCATCTCCGACGCACGGCAGCCCCAGGAGTGCAAGCCCTCCAGAGCGTCTTCTCCTTGACAGCCCCGCCCTCCCAGGTTTGAGGCTTGACTGAGGCAGCCGCCAGGCTGTGAATGGGCTCGTGGCAACTGAGGAAGGGGAAGGCCAGCAACAGCCCCAGAGCTCGGACAGCTCTGTGGAACCTCCAGGAGCAGAAGCGGCGCACTGGTGCCCAGCTGCCGGGAACAGGGGCGGGAGGTGCTGTTGTCCTCCTGTTGTTTGCGGGATCCTGGGCGGACCTAGTCCTCCAGTGTGTGAGTGGGACGGTGGACCAGACGGACCCTGCGTCTGCCCCAGCATGCTCCTCTCCCCACCAAGACAAACCACCAGGAATGCGTCAAAGCACTGCAACTCCTGTCTGGAGATGACAACCAGAGGAAGTGCTTCGAAGAATCTGTGGATTGTTCTGCAGCTGACCCCCATCCCGTGACCTCAGAGGGTGCCTGAGAGGTTTCTGGGGGAATTCATGGACTTCCTTTGCCACAGGAATCTCACAGTCCCAAGTACAATTGAGATTTATCATGCAAAAGAGAATTCCACATTTAATTATTTTTTATTTATTTTTATTTATATCCTGCCTTTTTCCCACAAAGGGCTCAAGGCAGCTTACATCATCCATCTTATCCCCACAACAGCAACCCTGTGAGGCAGGTTGGGCTGAGAGTCTGTGACTGACCCAAAGTCACCCAGTTGGCTCCATGGCCGAGCGGGGACTAGAACCCAGATCGTCTGAGTCCCAGTCCCGTGCTCTTAACCACTACACCACACTGGCTCTCATTTGACTCTCCCCCTCAGGCCTAGAAACCCTAGGTCCCTGTTGAAAGAGCTGGGAAGAATCCTGTGTGACCCCACTGCCCAGTGGTAAGTCCCAGCACCACCTTCTGGACATGGTCCAACAGAAGGACAGGGACCACAACCAAACAACCGTTGAGGTCCAGTCCCACCAGACAATCCAGAAAGCCACCGTGGCTGATAGTCCTGCAAATCTCAGAGCAGCCCAAGTGAGCCAGCAGGGCTGTCTCTCCTTTTTTGCTCCCTGGAAAGGCAAAAAAGGAGAGACAAAAAAGGCAAAAAAGGAGAGCCCCCTGAGGCTCCCAGAGCAGTCTCAGCCCCATGTCTCATTCCAAAGTTGGTTCAGATAACAGGATGCATCTCGAGCTGCAAGGCCAGCTCCTTCTCCACTGCTGTCCTAGGAATGGCACCTTTGAGACTGGCCTGCGGTTAAATGGAAGCCCTGGGCCAAGAGGGTTTTCTTTAATAAAGGTCTCATTGTGGCCTCTTTCAATCCAAACTCCTGGATGAGCAGCTGCTGTGATTAGATCTCTCTGCCTGCCCCCATATCAGAGTCCAAGTCAAGGAGAACTGGAAGACACACAGAACGGAGCAAGTCCCCCGCTCCCCATTGATGGCGCTGGCTCTCTCTCCAGCATCCCGATGAAGGAGGCTGCCCCAGCACGGGGAAGCACTGCCAGCCCATTCTGCGTGGACACAGGGGCGGGCGCTTTTCTCTGCCTCCCCGGAGCCCCAGCGGTGGTGCAGCTGGCCCCACAGAAGGGATAGGGTGCGAGTCAACATGGGGAACTGCTGCAAACTTCTCGGCAAATCTGTGGCCATGCTTCTTGCGTCGATGCAGGCACTGAGCGGGCTGCAATGGGTCCTCCTTCTGTTGCATCATCCCAGCACTGAGAGATTAGGCCATGGCCCAACACCACCACGGCCTCAGCAAGGCTGCTGCAGGACGGCCAGGCAGGGCCGCCTTCTTCCCGGCCCTGCCCGGCTCCCAGTGCTGCTGGAAGCCACCCCAACCTCTCTGCAGAAGCAGGGCTGGGGCCTGCCGCGCGGGGGAGGCTGAGGCCCACAGCAAAGCCGCACCAGGGCCCCAAGCCCAGGTCCAACCAAGGAAATCCTGACCAAGAGGAAGACAGCAGCTCCAGGCTTCTGTTTATCCCATCTGTTTTGGGCTTGGCTGTTCCACTGAAGTCCTGAGCCTTCCGACTCTCTAAACCTATTTTTCCCCATTTATTTGAGGGTAATGGAGTTTGTGTTTCCCTTATTATTCACATTTATAATTATGACTAAATGCATCCTAAAGAAATTATTAGTCTCCAGACAGCCTCATTAATTCAGATAACTTGCCCAGTGGGGTTTTGGGCCACTGCTCTCTCCACAGAATGGCTTTAATCAAAAGACAATTACAGAGAAGGCTTTATGGCAGTAAATGGTTGGCAGTCCCAAACGGGCTCTCGCATCCTCGTGGATGGCTCATCTCTTGGGTATCCTCAATGAAAATCTCTCAGCATAGGCACTGGTGGCGGCTGACTCAAACCTCCCAGCAAAATGCTGACAGTGGCTTCATTTCCATTATGGCTGAGCCAGCTGGGCTTGTGGGCTTTTTCCAGGGCGTTTCTGGCAGTGTCAAAAATGCCACCTTCTTCTCATGATTCTTCAGCATTAAGTTATTTCTTAAAATATTTGCATGGTTATTTACATAACCCCCCCACACCCACGCCCACACCCACACACACACTCCCTCTGTTTCCTTTGCCCTCGGTGACATCTTTACCTAGCCAAATTCGATCAGCAGCCTCGCGTTTGATGCCATTGGCTGAGACAGACTATGTGATTCATGCTGGAAGAGAGTAAAAGGGGAAACCTGGAGAGGAAAAGGGAGGCGCTACCTCGTCTGCAAGGGGGCTTTCGCCCGCCTTCCAGTGGTGTTGGAGGCATGACCCCATGGGTCACAGGAAGGGAACACTTCTCTGGCTTTGTCCAATGGCCACGCTGGCCGGAGTTATGGGAGCTGTCATGCAACACATGTGGCGGGCACCAGGTTGGGGAAGGCTGCTGCACATGCACTATGTGCACTCAAACCTGAAAAGCATTTAGGGGCCGCCATCTGCATGAAAGGCATCTGGGGTCTTCTGTCCAAATAATATAATTGCTTTCATTTACTCCAGAAAGTGCAGCTTCTATTTTTAACTTCCCCCTTTTTTCCTGCTTCTCAGATAAGAAAGCTCAGATACATGTGCTGAGCATTGCGCAGCGAGCCCCTCCTCCCCGTCCCGCTGGGCGGAGTCACAGTTCTGCTGGTACAAAAAGCACCGATGCTTTTGAGGGTGTGATTATGCCCATGTCTCACTGGAAATAGGTTCTGCTAAACAAACTTTGCAGTAAACGTGTAAGGCTTTGCTCTGACGATTTCATAAGAATGCTGAATAGTGCAATTTTAGATGCTAAGTTATAAACAATGCATTCTGTGCTATTCAAACAATGAAATAAAAATGAATTTCTTAGTAGCAAAGTTAATATTGCACATCTTTCCATTTCTCCCTACACACCCCATTTTTTCTGGGGAACCTTCAACTCCTCCCGGCAAGGGTGAGGAACAGTCTCCCCTACAGTCGATTCCAGGTTCCGTTCCTCTTTCACCCGATTGCAACGGCCGTATTCCCATGCTTGTGGGAGGCACAGAGCTCGGCAGTCGACACGCAGCCACCTGGAGGCACAAGGTGCTTCCAAGAAGTGACACATCACCCACCAGCAAGCCAGGGGGCACTCTCACCTGCAGCTCCTGTGGGTGTGAGGTGTATGCCTTCACCTTCCTGATGGCTTGAGTCCCCCGGAGAACCAGTGAGAGACGCGTCAGCTGCCCCGTTACACAGCTAACATCAACCCGCTGCAAGGAATGGAGGTAGAATTGCCAGATCTGTGTCGGAGTGGCCAGCCAGGGGTCCCTGAAGGGATGAACAGAGCAAGAAACTGCACTTCAAGGCCTTGCTGAGGTGAAACCTATCAAAGGAGCAGTGGTTCCAGAACAGTGAGCTGGAAAACAGCCAGGACCCTAGACAAGCCCACGTGTGGCAAGCTCAGGCTTCCCGTTACTAGAAACCTTTCCTGCCTCTGGGCCTTCGACGGTACATGCTCAGCAGCAGCTGCCTCCGACGCCAGGCTCCTGCTGGCTCACTTGACGAAGCCGCCCCTGACCAGATGCAGTTCAGCAGCACCCTTGCCAGGAAGATCCTGGGACTGAAGCCTGGAGACCATGCGGCCGCCCAACGCAGTGCTGCTCCAGGCCCACAAGCCACAAGCAGGCATGGGTCAGCTCATGCAGGGTTCCCCCAGTGATGCAGGGAAGCTCGGGGGCCTTGAGGCGGCTTGCAGGACCAGGGCCACGTGGGGCACCTGTGCTGGCACCAGGCACTGCATCCTCCATCCTCGCTTTCCCAAGACCCAGGGCAGGGTGGGAGCATGGGAGGAAGCACCAGGTGCAAAGTTGCACAACGCCCCACACCGGAGCGCCGGGCATGCTCGCCACGGCACACCTGGCGCGTCTTCCACTGGCGGGTTTTCTGGGTCACTGAATGTGAGGGGCTCAGCACTTCAGACACCGTGACCCACAAAGCACGGAGGGCACAGCAGCGGGAAGGGAAAGGGCTCCACGGGCTTGTCGTACGGTTTTGCTGGCACAGAAACCAGTGCGGGCAGCATCAGAAGAGAGGGCTGAAAAGAGTAAGGATTGGTTCTGGGGACCAAACGTGGGCCCATGTGCATTTGGAATGGAGTGGAGGGAAGCAGCTGTTTTAGCTGGCTAAAGAAACCCCAGGAAAGCTCAAAGGTGATGCAGCTCTCAGACAAGGTGCCAAGCATGGAATACATGGCCAGAATGCCTGAGAAGAAGCTGGGGGCTTTCTGAGGTCCTTCGGAACCTGTGGAGACATCAGTGGGGGCATCAGCAGGTGGGAGGAAACCCACCCGAAGGGGCCTAGGCTGGGCGAGGCCACCTGAGAGCATCTGATCAGCAAGCTCAAGACATAACAGCTCCCAAGCATGGAAACAGGCGTGGGTGCCGGCAGAGCGCTACACGTGTGCAAAACAGAGCCAAATGCTGCATCCCGCATTCATCCAAGATTCCCAGAGCTTTTTCTAACTGCATACAAAGGGACTTTGAAGTAGCACGGATCCTTCACCGCAGCCTCTAGCATGCTAGTCTCTCTCTCTCTCTCTCTCTCTCTCTCTCTCTCTCTCTCTCTCTCTCTCTCTCTCTCTCTCTCGCATGAAGTCTGTGTGTGCGTGTTATTTCTAACAGAAGCACTCCGTTCTATTCTAGGTCTGTCTCGGTACAAGCCAGGCAATGCAGCATCAAGGCAGTTGCTTTAGCTGACCCACACCCAGAAACCAGTAACTTGCAATATTTGTCACAATTGCAAAGTGATTTCAAATAAAACTGGGAATAAACCATCTTGAGGTTTCACTGAAGTATAGGACAGTATATACATGTTAAAAAAAATAAATAGTAAACCAACTGAAAAGGTTCTGTTTCTTTCAGCCATGCAGAGGATGCCCTGCTTCATGGACACCGATTAATGAACCCTTCTGTTGCTTCCGTGGGGGAACATGACACGCCTTGTTTCAAAATCCCTTCCAGTCGCACATGGACAGCGGGGCCAAGCTTTGCTCCTGCAAGCTCACCTGCGGCTGGATCCTAGGCATGCTTACCCAGAAGGAAATTCAAGGGGGCTCACAGAGATGTATTCCCATGTTAAGCATGCGTAGGATCGCCAGCGCGGACAGTCGCCCCTGTTAAGCACAACATGGCTTCCTCCCTTACGTGTAAATTGACAGAAAGAATCTCTTGATCTGTGGACTCGGTCCCCCCGCGACTTTCAGAAAGACATCCTGCGGCTCACCAGGCCCCTGCAGAGGAACATCAAGACCAGACTGGAGCCCAGATCCCAACATGATCCCTACTTCCTGAACTAAAACTGAGAAACAGCTCTGGCACACAGAAACTGGTGGTGGCCCGCCAGGTCTCGGGTGAGAATCTTTCCTAGCCCTTCCTAGAGCCCCGGACGTCTGCAAGCAGTCATGCATCCCGTCTGCAGTCCTACTGGTGGCACCCTCCCCAGATGCAAGCCTGCAAGCTTGGAGGCCATAGAATGGAAGCTGCTATTCCTTTTCCCAGAAGCCCCCAGGAGTGAAGTTGTGCAACCCAGGGACTCTGGGAGAAATAAAGTAGCTCACCGAGCTACAGGAGCAGGCATTAAGATAGCACTCCCCGAACAGGGAGAGATTCCAGCTCTCTTTCAGCTGCTTCTGCCAAGAGACCTGAAGGAGCACAGAGTTCCCTGAGCACAGAGACTCAGTCAGATGTCCCGGGGCTGTCCGGAGCAGTGCTGCTTCCTTGCCGGTCCCTCAGCCAGGAGACCACCCCTCCCACCAAGGGTGGTCTCCTCTGGCCAGAATGGCCGCACACTAATTAGTGGGCTGCAATAACCAGCAACCACTTATTTCGGTTAGGTTACCATTATCTTGGTTTCACAGATGATGTTCGGGTCGCTGCAGCGCACAAACATTTCTGGCTCTCCACCTGGAACACCCACAGGGGCACCTGGCCAGGAAGAAGAAAACAGGCCCCCAGGCAGTTTGACCCCACAGAAATTGGTTATATCAATCGCAGCTCTGTCCTAGCTTCCCTAAGAGACAAACCAAACTCTCTTCCTTCACACTCCCAATGCCCCCTGCAGAACGTGATGAGCTCAACATTTCTCTTTTTCTAACCAGTGGATGCACAGCTGGAAGTGTGGCTTCTAGATTGAGAGAGGTACTATTGCCACTCTGTACAACTCTGGTGTGCCCACTGCTGGAGTCCCATGTTCAGTTCTGGGCCCCTCTTTACAAGAGGGATATACCAACGTTGGAATCAGTGTAGCAAAGGGCCACTAGAATGGTGGCTGGTCTGCAGGAGAAGCCATATGAGGAGAGACTGAGGGAGCTGGGCCTTTTCAGCCTGGAGGAGACTCTGAGGGGATCTGTTAGCGACATACAGGTATGCGGGGGATGTCACACGGAGGTGGGGAGAGACCTGTTCTCCCCTGCAGAGGAAGGCAGGACACGCTCCAATGGAACCAAGCTCCACGCTCCAAAGCTCAGGGAACCAAGGTTCCATTTGGATGCCAGGAAGCACTTTCTGACAGTTAGGACCCCGAGGGTGTGGAATGGGCTTCCACGTGAGGTCGTGGAAGCCCCATCAAAGGTTCAAAGACAGGATGGACATGCACATGGTGGGCATGTCATGAGCGGAGCCAGCTGGAGCCAGGGGTCAGACTGGATGGCCCAGCAGACCCCTTCTAACTCACTCTGTTTCTATGTATTTTGCAGCTTCCTTCGCCAGGGAAAAGCCAGTGATGAAGACTCCAAACTTTTCCCTCCTAGCATGGAGAATTTCAGCAACGAGCAGGAAAAAGTTTTCCCTTACTCAGTTGCAGAAGAAGGAGCAAATGCCAGGCAGGGAAGGCCTCCTCTTTTCAAGTGGCTGCAGGAAGGAGATCCTGCCTGGGCTGGCCATTGTGTTCACGGTGTCAGTTTGAGGACTGTGTTGCTGAACTGGTTGTTTTTAATTTTAGGCATTGACTTGTTTGATTTGTTTGAAGGGTGCCCATTAGCATCACTCTCTCGGCTCTCTTTCTGCGTGCTGAGATCTCAGCATGGGACGAGCTGCACGTGGAAACAAGCGAGAACTACCTGGAAGTGTGTGCCATGGAGGCAAACGGATGGACTTCTTCAGGAAGGTGAGTTCCGGGTGGTAGAAACGGAAGGTCTGATCGACCATGTGGGGCTGTGACTCCACGTTCACGCTGAGGATGGCGATGGGTTTGCTGCCGCTTGCTGTGAAGGAGACCTGGCATTGACCACAGGAGAGAGGTTAGGGATGCCAGAAGCCGCAGGGGCCTTGTCAAGCCGAAGAAGTGTGTGGCCAGTCCCAGGAAAATCAGGGTATTTTCCTTGTAGAGCAAATGGGAGGTCGGTCATGTTCTGAAATAAAGCAAGTTTCTAGTCCTTGAAAACCCTGAAACCTCCACACACGAACAGTTTCTAAACAAGTATCCCTTAAAGCAGGGAGGCTGGATGCTGCTGTTCCAGGCAGGCTGCAAGGCATTTTCCACAAGGCCAGGAAACCGCCTGTGAAGCAGGAGGCTCACAGAGTGGCCAGACAGGTACTGCAACAGGGGCTGGAGCTGCTGCGAGGCCTGTGCAACAGCAGGCAGGCAGGGTGGGCACCTCAGAGCACCCCCAGCCATTCCATCGCTACCACTGTGTTCACCCACCTTCATGGCTCCCGCAGCCACCGAACTGCCGCACCCCAACAGCTGTGAACACTGGCAAAGTCTCGCCACCCCGTTCCCTTGCACAACAGCCCTTGTGCCCAGCTGTGCTACAGCTACCTTGATGCGTTTTGTCTGCGTGCTGGTGGACTTCCAAGGGGCTGCATTGTCCTTCTTGCCTTTGTTGAACGCCAGCTCCATGGGACCTTGCTGGAGATCAAAGAGACAGCACAGCCGCACAGTGAGAGCGTTCTTTAATTCCACCCCTTCGGCACAGTGCAGCTGTGTTTAAAGCAAGCGGGCTGCAGGGCGATGCATGTGCCTTTTCCCCTGCCTGCATGCCCCAGCTGGCTCCCGTCATGAGTCGAGATCCCCCTGTGCCAGGAAAAAGGGAAAGATTGCTGCAAATCCACAGGCACTGAGGATTAAAAGGAAGGAAAACAAAACAAAACAGAGGGACAGCTCTGCCTCAAGGAGATTCAGGTGATTTGGGGAGAACTGGAACACCCATACATGTTGCATGCCTGTGGTTTGGAATGCTTGCTCTTGTCTCAGGGTCGCCCCCCCCTCCCTGCCCCTTTATGGCATTGCTAAAAGCTGATGGAGGGACCCTTGCTCCCATTGGGGTGGGGGATGCCTGGGTGCAGCCTTTCCCTTGAATGGCTCTGCACTGTCAGGGCCCACGATTCAGCTGTGGACGGAGCCAGAGGCTGATGTGACTTCTAGCTCGACTCTCTACATAATGTAGCAAGACAGCTTCATGTGGACACTTTCCTTCCCGTCAGTGCAAGGTGCCCTCTCTCAGCCAGTCCCCGAATCATCCTTTTTGCCCTCCTCTGAACCCGTTCCAACTTGTCTGAACTGGCCTACCCAGTGCTGAGTACTAGAACTAGTACTTCATGGGATTTGGACTTGATATTTCTGTTAATGCAGCCAAAAAAGCTTTTGTCCTTTGTGCAGCCACATCACAGGGTTGACTCACATTCAGCTTGCGATCTACTCCAATTCCAAGACCTTGCAGTCCTGTTGAGCCAAGTATCTCCCACCTTGTAACTATGCCCTTGGTTCATTTTTCCTTCGTGTTGAACTTGGCAGTTGTCCTTATTGAATTTCAGTCTCTTGTTTTCAGCCCAGCATCCCAGTCTGTCAAGATCCCTGAATCTTCTTTCTGTCTTTCAGGACATTAGCTGTCCCACCCTGTTTTGTGTCGCCTGCAAATTTGCTAAGCATTCCAAACAGGGAACATTCACTCAAGAGTGAAGCACAGCATTTGCAGCTGGAGCTGATTATGGTTTCTGTCAGGCAAGTTCACCCCTCGCTATGCTTTGCCCACACATGGACCCGGACAGCTGATCAGGGCGGGAGAACCCCCGGGGGGCCTCTTTTCCTTGAGGGAGCAAGCGTGGCTCCCTCCTTGAGAGACTGGGCAGGCAGAGGGGGAAGGCAAGCCAACAGACAGGGTAGGCTGAGTGGGGCATGAAGCTCCCTGGAAGACAGGAAGGGGAGCTTTCCTAAGCCGGGGGAGCTTGGGAATCAGAGCTTTCTCGTGAGCCTGAAAAAGGAAGCGCCATGTGCAAAAGGCCAGAGGAGGGCATGCCATCTAGCATGCTCAGAGGGAGAACCAGGAGCTGGGGAAGTGAAGGACAAGGCAACTCACTGCCCTCCGGGTGGAGCCAAAGGGGCCCCTGCAGCTTGCCCTTCCCTCTTCTCCGCACAGCATGAATGGGGCATTCCGCAGGAACAAGCTGGGTTCTGGAAGCTGATCTAGAAACTATGCCTTGGATTATCAAGTGTGCCCCCGGCTCGAAACCAGAAACAGGTGCTGTGGAGGCAACGGTGCTGGTTTATATGCTGCAGGATCCCTTCATGCAGCACCTCCTGCAAGCAAGCGTGTGAGCAATACGCTAGAAATCGAGCCTTGGCACTTCCCTACCTGCATCACGGCTGTCTGCTCCATAGAGAAAGCCTGGTATTTGAAGGGGATGTAGACTGTCTCCTTGGGACGCAGGTAGACCTGAGGCGCGCTGCTGCCATGCAGGTGAAACATGTCCTCCTCCAGTGGGGTGACAGTTTGGGTCAGTTCCTTAAAATGCCTCCATTCTCTGGTGTCCACAATGACACTGGGGAGAAGTAAAAGAGTCAGCGGCAGAGCGGAATTCCTCCCTCCTGCATGATATCTCCATATGACACCTGAGATTGCCTGCCTACGAAGCAGGAGAAAAGGGCAGTGCACAGGCTGGTTTTTGCCATGCAGGCGGGATGTGAGACCTGATTCTTCTTGTCACTCGGGATGCTCCAAGAAACTCTCCATTACTTTTCATACAATTCATATGCATGCTGCTTGAGGGAGCATAAGAGGACAGATCCCTGCCCCATGGAGCTTACAAACTACAACTGGAAATGGAGACAGAGTTACACAGACTCAGTTATGCAGGTTCAAATCACATTAGCATTTTGGGACCGAGGCGCGGTGAGGGCCAAAGGAAGACACCGGGCAGACAGAAACGCCCAGCGCTGTCACCGCTAACCTCACTCCCCTCTGATGGCTTTTCCAGACTGCTCAGCGTGGCCTTCATGCTCTTAAAACACTGCACCTTTCCTGCCGAGCGCTGCAAGGCTGGCATTCATGGCGCACCAGGAAGACAACTGCCGGCAGGTCCTCGCCTGCCACGGGGCCCATCCCAGCTCGATTCCTACCTGAGCTCTGGGTCGTCGCTCTTGATGGAAACCGTGTGCTGGACATTGTATGGGTTTTTCAGGGCAAACTCAAAGAACTCAGCAGTGCCAAAAGTGGTGTAGATGGTGTGGCAGGTGGTGATGGCCTTGCTCAGCATGCTGGCGATGCTCTCCGCCTTGATGCGCTCACGGTAAGCCTCGATGACCTGGAGGTCTCTGGCGTGCTGAACGTGATTGTCGTGCCATCCCTGGGGGAACGGAGCACACGAGGCGATGTGCTCGGCAGCCACCAAGGAACTCTCTTCCCGCCAGCCAGGCAGGACCATGCATTCACGCCTCCGCTCACCCAGCGGCCCATGGCACAGAAGCCTGCGGAAGGTGACGTGGCCTTGCCGCCTGGCCCAGAGCCACGAGGAGAGCTGCAGCAAGGCAGAGCTGCCAGCCCACGCGGAGCCCAGTTTCGAGGACGCCAGGCCTTTACCATCTGCATTGGCTTCCCATTGAAGTCTGGGCCCAATGGAAGGTGCTGGTGATGGCTTATATAGCCCTAATGGCTCGGGACCTGGATCCCTGGAGGAGCGCCTCCGCCCATCCATACCTCCCCACCCACTAAGGTCTGGGCCAGAGGCCCTGTTTCAGGAGCCTTCTTTGAAAGAGAGCACATGAGCGGCCACTCAGAGAAGGACCTTCTCCGTGGTGGCACCCAGTTATGGAACATGCTCCTCAGAGAGGTGCGCTTGGAGCCAATGCTTTTTTCATTTTGGGCCCAGGCCAAAACCTTGTTATTTTCCTGATATTTTAAGTGCTAATGTTGTTTCAAAGATATGGTGTTGCTTACTGTAATTGACGTTTAATGCTGTACTTTTATTTTATAGTATTACCATCCTGGGACTTAGTGAAGGACAGTATATAAAAGCTTTCAATAAATAGAACAAATCAAGTGCTGCCATCATTTTCAAAGCCCCAGGCAGCTGGGACCAGGTCACCTGAAAGATCATCTTCTCCCACGGAGACCTGCCCAGGCCATCCTCAGAGGGCCTGCCAGAGGAAGGTTTCCCTGCCAAATGGAGCGAGGCCGGTGGCTATGAAAGAGGCTGTCGCTTTGGCCAGGGCACCCCACCTGTGGAGCGCCCTCCCACGGGAGTGATGAGACACCAAAATCTGGAAGAACAGGCAACATCAGCAGCCAAGCATCTGGCTTGAACAGTGCTAAACTCAGCCATTCAGACCCAGTGAAAGATAAGAGGGAGGTGCATAAGGCAACCCAGAAGCAAGCAAGTGTCTGGGGCCTTCCTAAGAGCCTACTTCACAGGCCCCCAAAGCAACCTGCTCCAGAGGCATGGCTGGGGCCACTATGGAAAAGGCTCACATCCACATACCTGCCTGCCTCACTGCCTCAGACGTGAGCCACGGAACACATGGGTGGCTGGCACAAGCAGAGGCTGAAAAGGGCAAAGGCAGTCTTTCCATTCTGATCCCGCTCCGCACCAGCAAAGGTTCTCAGTCCACCTTCAAGGGCAGCTCCATGAACTGTGCATTAGACTAGTCCAGCCTGTCTCAAATCCCAGCCGCATGTGCACCAGATGCTCACCAAGCTGTGGCTGCTCTTCTTCCCACAGTCTCCTTCCTGGGACTCCCGCCGCCGGACAGACACCATCCTCTCCAGTTTCCGCCTCCGGCTGGCACTGGCCTCACAGCTGGCGTGCTGGTAGGCCATGCTAATGTCGCGCAAGTGAGAGTGGAGCATGGCAGCTAGCTCACTGTCCACATCTGCCAGCTTCTGTGCCTGGCACACATTTCCAGCTGCAAGTTGCATGGACAAAGGGGACAGGTTGAAAGCCAACAGATGACACGGTGCAGAAGAGCAATCACCTCTCCTTCAGACGCATCGCATGGGAATTACCAGAAAAAAATGTCACCTGCTTGAATTCATCTTATTGACCAGTGGCATTCTCTGCTTCCTTAATATGGAAAAATAGCCCTTTTTCTGCTGGGCAATAAAGATAAAAATGCAATTAAACCATGACTACCTTTGCCCTTCTTTCAAATTTTATTAGAGCACAAAAGAAAGGCTTCACATTTAGTACTGAAGACAAGATTGATGAATTAGCTACACATTATTTTGCCCAATGGTTGAGTGTTATGTTATTAATTTGCTGCTTTATCTATCCAGATTTGTTTCATTTGAGGGACTGGTTGTGAACACACCAGTTAAGGTACATTTCTCATTGCTCCCCCTTCTCATTTGATGTGGTCCTTTCTTCTCTTTGTGGTGAGAAATACAGCCTTGCAAACAAAATAATATACTCCTTCAACAAAAATAGCCTCAGACAGAAATTTAAAAAGAAGGAATACAAAAAGAAAATAAGACTAATTTTAGACAGAAAAGAGCAGGAAGGTTTTTTTTTTTTTTTCATCTTTTGCCTATACTGGTCTGCCTGAACTGGCTGTAGCTCCATGGGATTTCAAAACTTTCCTAGCACAATCTGGAAATATCGGGAAGTGACCTTGCATGTGGGGTATGTAAAAAGCAAATTAGCATGGAACTCGATTGGGCTTGGGATGCTACCCTGCATGAGTGTCACTGGAAAGGAACTGGTGTTCCAGAAGAATAAAGAGATTTGAGGTGTGCCGTGATGGGAATGAGAAGTTGAGACCCGGGGGTGCGGGGAGACACTACTTTGACAGGAGGCAGCTCCCTCATTCTCCCCTCCCATGAGAAACATTCCAGGGTCCCAAAACAGGCTTCCTGACTGTCCGCTTACTTGAGTTCTTCAAGTGACCATGTCAAAGCCGGTCAACTAGACAGTGGATAAGGAACGAGTGCATCCCACTCAGTCGCGTCCCATTGGCAAACACAGCAGGAAGCCAGTTGTCACTGCCCAGAAATGCTGTTCCTTTGCAGTGCTGACCCTCGGGTCCAGATTCCCAGGTATGCACGGGTCCCTTTGCAGCAGGAAAAGCTACCTGCCTTCTGGGAGGCATCCCTGAGGATCCAGAGAAGGTGGCTAAAATTTCTGAGGCAGGCGCACGCTGCCTCTCAGGCCACAGAACAGACTGCACCTCTGAGGTCACAGCTGCCCCCACGGCTGCCAGAAAGCCTCGCCTTTTCCCTGGGCAGATTTAACACATGGAGAGTATTGACTCAAAGGGGACAGGTTGAAAATATGTGTGGCACTTGAGAGGGAAGGGCTCGCACGGCCGAGGAACAGCAGGTCTGCCCACCTTCCCGTTCACTCCCTCTGGTCCATGGGCACTGCTCCTTCTCCAGCTCATGCCTGGCTGGCAGAGGGGCTGCCACCTCTGTGGGTGTCACATGGAGCGGCTTTCTCTGGATGCATCTCCTCCCTATGGGGCAAATGATGCGCCACCCCAGACTTCTGGAGAATGAGTGCTGGAGAATGCCCCATGCCAGCTGCTTCTTGGGCTCGACCAGACACCTTCCTCCATCTGCATCTTGTGCTCACGACCAGTACGGCTTATTCTACACTTATTCAATCTATGCCCCACCCCCACCCCCACCTTGCCAGCACAAATGTGATGCTCAAGGAAGCTACCAATGCACTACGGGCCACGAGCAAGTTCTTAAGCTTACTATGAAAATAAAAGCAAAACATGAAAACACAAAGGAAAAGAAACAAATTGCACCCAAAGAATGACACACCTCTTCAGCAAGGGGCAGCCCCAGACGACGCACCAAAGGCCTGCCCGGGAGGACAAGAGGAAGCAGGCTGGCTGGCCTTCCGTGGGAGGCAGCTGCCCCTCCAGGCACCCAGCGCCTGCTTGCTGCTGAGCTCCTCCAGGCAAAAGGCTTGCAGGGAGCAGGGGCTGGAAAGGCCTCTCCCCAGCAATGAGCCGCCACTGGATCCACTTGGTGCAGGCAGCTGGCTTGGTCAGCGCTCGCGACTGGCCTGTGGGGTGCTGCTGGGGGGGGGGTCAAAAAAGCAGGCCCTTGGTCCTACGGCCCCATGGACTCAAGGAGTCCCAAAGCCCCACAGCAGCGTCACCCTGCTCCCAACCGCTGCTTCATGGCGGCAACAGCTGGAAACCAGGACAATCCCGCTGCTGCCTGGGGGATGTCGGGGAGCTGCCCAGACTTTGGTCAAGGCCTTCTCTGGTGCTTCCCCTGTTGGTCATCGGTCACCAAGGGCTGACCTCCGAGGCGACCGCTGCAAACAGGTGACTGTCTCCCTCATTAGCCGGACTCCTCCTGCTCTGAGAGCTTTTCCACAGAACCTCGCCTGTGGTTGCCCTCTGGTCGGTGGCAGCAGCTGGCCAGAGTAATGCCTCTTGGGTTTCCTCCCACTCAGTGGCTGAATGTGCTTTTATGCACTAGATGGAAGGCGTGGCACTGAAGGGAAGGCACAACGACGGCGAACCTTCTGTTGGGCCTGCTGCTCTCACCAAACCTCCAGCCAAGGGGCCAAGCGCTGCCTTGAAAGGGATTTCTGCACCAGGAAGAAACCCTCACACAATTTAAACTTATTTAAATATATATTGCAAGATTCCACTTGAAGCTGCTTTTCAGGTTAAAAATATTGCATTTTCTGAAGCAGTCTTGGGAGCCCCTTGCAAAATGGATGCTCACTGATCTAGGATGTCCCAGTCGGTGGAAAGATCCACACCCACCCACCATCCCCTCCTCTCACCCAACACTGATTCAGGGAACGAATGATGGGGTCTGCACCCTCATCCTGGATGCTCTTCCATTTAGATTCAATAAAGGTGCAAGGAGAAAAGAAGGGCCCCAGGAGAAGCCCATGGCAGGCCATTCCCTCATTTGCTTCTCCGGTTCAACATGCCATTCTTTGTCTCCAAAGCAGAAGGGAGCACTCCAGGTTTCCTCTTGGATTCTGCCCTTCCAATGAGGCATATTCAGAAGACAGAGCCTAACATACCTCTGCATGTACTGAGGGAGAGCAGGCTGCCCCCGTGGAAGCCCCTGGTGCTGTCATGCGAGGAGATGACCCGCGAGCGAGAGGGTGGCAAGGAGTGCGATTTCCTCAGTCTCTGCTCAGGCAGGTGCCCTGAAAAGGAAGCCGAGCTGCTCAGTTGGGGCCGCATGCCCCTTCCGTCTAGGCGGGGGCACATAGTCCCTGGGTTCAGAACAAGTTCCATTCCTGAGAAAGTCCTTAAGTTGAATTTGTATGTAAATTGGATCACATGAGTAAGTCAAATGTTTGTCTTAATATATGCATATATTTTACCTTTCTATGCATATAAAACCTTTTAAAACACTTCCATATTCACTAAAACTTCTTAAAACACAATACAGTACTGTAATAATGATAATAATAGAGTAATAATAAAGGAACTACAGGTACTGAAGAGAAAGAATCTGTATGTATATGTGTAGAGTATTGTAAAAACCAAATTAAAGAAACAGTTCTTTAAATAGCTTAGAACAATCCTGAGTTAACATTAAGTGATGTTAAACATTAGATGATGACGATGACGATGATGATGATGATAATGATGCTGATGAGATGGACCTGATGCTGGAGAGTCAGGGTTTGATTGTGCTGCTGGGGGTAGGGGTGTGGGGGACAATACCACTGGAGCCTACGGTCTGGATGCCATGGAAGAAAATGCCATGCATACTTATCTCTAGGGAATTGCACAGCCACTGAGAGATGAATTGCCAAATGTATTGCGTAGTTCCCTAGAAATAGCTGTGCCTCTCTCCAGTGATGTGTTCAAGTCCTTTCCTCCAAGTCTCGAGTCAAGTTTCAAGTCATTGCAAGAAATATGCAGCAGAGACTCAAGTCTCTCCTCAAGTCTCAAGACTCAACTTTAACAGAAAAAAAGGGAGGTGGAGGTGGAAGTGGGGGTGCCGTGGGTGGGAAAGGTGTAAACCACCCCATGCCAAAAAGAAGAACCTTGCCTTGCCTTGCCCTGCCTTCTCCTTATTGCAACCCCTCCTGCCTATCCTGCCCCCACCCTCTTGAAACTCCCTCCCTCCCTTGTGCTTGTGCGGAAAAGAACTGAAGACTTGCCTTCCCCCTGTCACACTCTGCTGTGCCTGCGCCTGCGCCTGCCTTCCAGCCCACCACAGACGCCTTGCCTTCCGTTGAGGTTGCCCCAGGATATCCAGCTGCATGTCAGATGCAGGCAGGAAGCCCTGGAGCAACTCAGAGGAAAATGGCAGAAATCTCAAGTCGAGCTGAGTCGCTTGCTTGTTGCTCCCAAGTCGGAGCCCAGTCAGTGATGCAGCTTGAATCGGACTTGGGAGAGAGCTGCTCACCTCGAGTCCCCAACACCGTCTACCTCTAGTGAAAAGCCATGAATGTCTCACAGTCACTGATGGCGCATTGTCAAACATTGCCCTTAACTGCTTGGGACCTGGATACCTAAAGGAACGCCTCCTTCCCTATTTGCCCTCCCTCCCCCTGAGATCAGCAGCAGAGGCCCTCCTCCAGGAACCCTCCGTGAAAGGTATTAGGAGACCGGGAGACCTGGGCCTTCTCTGCGGTGGCGCCCCACCTGTGGAATGTACTCCTCAGAGAGGTCCACCTGGCGCCGTCGTTATTTGTTTTTTGGCACCAGGCCAAGACCTTTTTATTCAAACAATATTTTAACAATTTTTAATATTATCTATAGGTTTTAATTTTTCAGCCAGGGTGAATCTGGATTTTATGTGCACTATCTGTTTATTGTATGGAAGCTGTCCTGAGGCTTATGCAAATGGGACGGCATACAAAAATTCTAAATAAATAAATAAATAAATAAAACAGCTCCTGCCAGATGAATCTTGCAGAATTCTACAACAAGGTGTCAGGGCGGCTAGGGGACGCGGTGGATGTGGTTTACCTGGATTTCAGCAAGGCCTTTGACAAAGTGCCCCATGATATCCTGGTGGAGAAATTGAGGAGTTTTGGGATAGACCAATGCACTGTCCTGTGGACTGGGGCATGGCTGACTGACCGAAAGCAGAGGGAAACCATTAATGGGGAATCATCGCGATGGTGGCCAGTGACAAGCGGGGTCCCCCAGGGCTCTCCTGGGGCTGATCCTGTTTAATCTTTTCATCAACAACATGGAAGAGGGGGTGAACAAATTCGCAGACAGTACTAAAATGGGGGCAGTGGCTACTCTGGATTCAAAAGTTTCTGGACAGACTATGGAGGTGGGCCAGTAACAAGAGGATGGCGTTCATTGAAGATATGTGCAAGGTCTTGCACCTGGGACATAGTAATGGGTGTCATAAGTACAGATTAGTGCTGGAGAGCAGCACTTGTTAAAAGGATCTTAGGGTGCTGGTCAACTGCAGGCTAAACATGAGTCAGGAGTGTGACACGGTGGTCAAGAGGGCAAACATCACCCTTGGATGCATAGCCAGAAGCATGGCTTCTAGATCAAGATAAGTATTACTGGCACTATATGTGACTGGTATTGTGTTCCGTTTTGGGCCCCTCATTACAAGAGGGATACAGCAAGGTTGGAATCGGTGCAGCGCAGGGCCACAAGGATGAAGGTTGATTTGCAGGGGAAGCCATATGAGAGAGACTGAGGGAGCTGGGCCTTTTCAGCCTGGAGAGGAGGAATCTCAGAGGGGACCTGTATGTTGCTCAGAGGGGCAACATACAGGTATGTGAGGGGATGCAACACAGAGGTGGGTTATGAACTTTTTCCCCTGAGGTGGAAGGCAGGATACGGTCCAATGGAGCAAAGCTCAGGGAACCAAGACTTAGAGTGGATGTCAGGAAATACTTCCTGATGGTTAGGACCCCTAGGGTATGGAATTTAGGACCCCTAGGGCATGGAATGGGCTTCTACGGGAGGTGGTTGAGGCCCCATCAGTGAGGGTGTTCAAAGATAGGCTGGGCATGCACATGGTGGGATGTCATGAGTGGAGCCAGCTGGAGCCAGAGGTCAGACTAGATGACCTGGGAGACCCCTTCTGACTTGCTCTGTTTCTAGGTTTCTTTCTCATGCAGTTCCCTAGAGATACTCATGGCATTTCTCTAGAGATATTCACATAGGGTTTATAGCAATCCACGTGTTCGTAAGTATGGGTTGTTCGTAACCCAGAAGCTTGTAACCCAGGGACGACCTGCACTCTGAAAGAGTGACATCCTGCACACAGGAAATTGCCAGGGCTTCTGCAAGGTTCTCCCACCTCCAGCCAAATATTTATTGTATTTTATTTTGTGTTGTGAGCCGCCCCGAGGCTTCGGCAAGGGGCGGCATAGAAATGTTTTAATAAATAAATAAAATAAATATTTGAGCTGGGCCAGAAGTGGGGTGCTTTCCCCCACAGGCTCTAAGAAGTTCAAAGGCAGCTGTGTTGACCCCTGCGCATGCATCTCATTTCAAAAGCAGGTCCTCTTCTCGAAGGTGGCAGCCACCTCCTAGAATCACCCCCTCCCCTGAACTCCTCAGGAGGCAGAAAATATAGGGGTGCTTTCGCATGTTCTGCAAATATTGTGACTTTCCCTAGCTTATAATTATTATGATGCTGGTCATTATAGCTGGTCCCCCTTATCGTTGCTGCAAGTTCAGAAGTTCTTGCTGTTGCATTCAGCACAGGGGATGGGCAGCTGCTCTTCCGGTTCTTCCTCTTCCAATGCAAATTGGACAGGCAGGCAGCCCTTCAAGCAGAGGACCGCCCTCTGTAAAGAGGGCACTTGGCCATGGCACTTCTGCGCAAACCCGTTTCTGACCTGCTCCCCATCAGTGGCCTCCAGATGGAGCTCCCTGGCTGGACAGCTCAACTGTGAGCTCACCATTCTAGGCGTGTGCAGACTCCCCCAACCAGGGGCCCTCCAGCAGGTGTCGCACGGCCACTTCCACCCCTCTCAGCCAGCATGGCCAGTGGAGGGCACCAAGTTGGCAAAGGCTGCTCGCATGGGCCGCTCCCTCGCCTCGCCGGTCCTCATGGAATTTAAGCCTTCCAGCTCCAGTAATGGGGAGTATGGGTTACATTATAGTGTGCCTAGAAGCACCAAGCAGGCACCGAGTGGTGGGGACCACTAGGAGAAGAAGAGAAAAGGTATAATGTTCCAGATAAGGAACCAAAAGAAGTAGCAGTACAAGTTTAGTGCACATATAGATCATCCCTTGAGGATTTAGGAACATTTAGGAACAGAGCTTTTGCCCTGAGCAGGGGGTTGGACCCGATGGCCTTCTGGCCCCTTCCAACTCTACTGTTCGACGAGTCTATGCCTGTATGCTATGGAAAGTTCAGGGAAACTAAACTCTTGTTCCTTTGAACACAATGGATGCTCAGAAGTGGTTCTGCATTCTTAGCGATACCCTGAGCTTGACAGAGAACACTGATGACCCCAAAGTCTTTCAGTTGCAAGACGGGCCGGGCAAAAGGAAGCAGAAGCACCGGGCTGCCTGGAGGGCCTACATGGATGCGGGACCGGTGTGTGCAAACGGAACTCACCTCCACCGCTTGGGCAGTCTCCGCCTCGCTCTGCGTGGAAGCCTGTCTTTTTTTCTCCATAAATGGAGCGCACAGCGCATTCACCTACCACCCGGGCACACAGCACACATCTCCCCCTAACAAGGCCACTCTTGAGGGATTGCAACCTCTTGCCGCTCACTCAACTGGCCGCTGCTTCCCATGTGTGCTCAGCCCTCCTGAACAGGACAGTGAACACAGGAAAATGTGCCTTCCTTTTATATGCATAGTCAGGCCAGCAACATGATTAATCTTTTTAGATATTGGTCGGTAGAGAAGGGGGTGCTTTGCATGCTCCTCAAGTACCAGACCAGAGAAGCGCGGGGCAGAAGTGCGAGAGTTAAAGTTGCTAACTCTAGTCTTAAGATGTGGTGGGAGAAGACACATCTGTTCCATTTAACCTTTCAAAATGTGCAGATGATGATACTGCCCCATAGCCTATTGGGCTCTCTGGGCGGTTTACAGATTTAAAATACACCTAGGAACAACAAAGTAAGTGATAAAAATACAAGCCACATGTACAGCAGATGATTTTCCAGTGCCGCTGGACCACTTTCCCCTTGTGATCTCTCTCCTCCTGCCCCTTTTCTCAGATCTCTCACAGCCTGGAGCATCTCA